GCAAAACGAGCACATTGTCACGATTTCATTGAGACTTTACCTCAAGTTTGTTATTTTCATGAATTTTAGATTGAAAAACAATTTTTATTTTGCATTCGAATTATAGGGTTACAATACATCTGTTGGTCGTAATGGTATTTTCTATTTATCTGGTGGTCAAAAGCAACGTATTGCAATTGCTCGAGCTCTCTTTCGCAATCCCAAAATATTGTTACTAGACGAAGCAACCAGCGCACTCGATGTTCACAACGAACAGGTATGTGAATTTAATTTACTTGATTTTTCCGACCGTGGAAAATAAAATCAAAATCAAAAACTTCATTTTTGTGGAAGAAGCAATTCTCTGTGGCAGCATATTGACTAAAACTCACATGAGACACTAGCTGTGAGAGTACTGAATGTTCTACTGACTTCAAACATGTAGTTAGACATTGTACCACAGAACATTAATATGAAAGAAAGGTTTTTTTTCATTCGTCCTAATCGAACTGATAGAAAAATGATCTTTTTTTTTGTTTTCGTTTTCAGCTTGTTCAAGAATCGCTCGATAAGGCACGTCAAGATGATCCTTCACGTACTATTATTATCGTTGCTCATCGTCTTTCAACCATTCAATCGTGTGATTTTATTTGTGTATTCGATTACGATGGGTGTCTGCTTGAGTGTGGTACTCATGCAGAGTTGATGGCACTTCGCAATGCTTATCATAGACTTTTTCTTGATTATGTTGAAGGAAGAGATAATTCATAGAAAATCCATCTTAAATGGCATTTCAATATAATTTTTCAACGTTTCATACTATGATTACGTTTGAAATTATTAAAAAAAATCAACATAAGTTTCGAGAGGGAAGGAAGAAACTAAGTAGGAGCAGTGGGTTTGAAGAGAGTCGCCAGATTCCTGGAAGACAAACTGTGGTACTCTACTGTCATGGAGTGACCGAGTTCCGTCCCGTGATGTATCTACCCATTTCCTTCCACACTAGATCAATGGATTGTCGCATAACTCGAGTCTGAATGACTTTATCTGTATATTGTACTGTGTACATTTTCCTCCGTAAACAAAAAAAAACGATTAATCAATCAAACAAAATTTATTATAGCAAATTGACGATACAGGAATGACATGGGAATTATGTCGGATTTGGTGAAAAACGTCGAAAAACAAAAAATGTCAGAAGAAGACGTATTTTGTGAAACATGATCTGATAGAATTGAAGTATATATAGTAGAAATTTGGACCCATTTCCCTTCTTCTCTCTCTACAGACACACGACCACACCCCAAGCCGTGACAGATACCCATATCTACACCGTAGACACGAAACAAGCTCAAAATAAAATAGAATGTACACGAAGTTTCACGAAAAAGCTATGATAGGACTCAAATGTTGATCCTGTTTATCTCGGGTGGTGGGACACCCTCAAAATGGCGGCGTCGTATGCAGGTGCTACATTTTATAGTTATTTTCTTTGAGACCACCATATATACTGGGTTTGGTGCTATTTGCATCAATAATACTTTATTATTAACGAGTTATCGCTTTTCTTTCTTTTAGTCAATATCCAAGCGTTTTTTTGGCTCTTCCCCAATACTTTTCTCGATCAGCTTGTCCCATCGTACCTCCATTGATTCTTTTAGTGATCATTCGAAATGATGCGAGTGTATTCTTATCTGCCAGTGTATTCAATTTGTGTGTTGTTCAAAACCATACACTCGTTCGAAATCCGACTTCAGAGTGTGGGTGTGGGTATGGGTGGGATGTAAGTGTGTGGGTGTGATGGTGTGGGTGTAAGTGCCGAGAAGATTTATACACACATCCACACCCACACACTCACATCCCACATCGAATCAAGCATTTTGTGAATGGGAAGATAAATACTCTCATATTCGCTGTAAAACAACCATATACCACCGATAATCAGGATACTCTTTGATTGGATTCACAATACGCTGCCATTTCATTAATCATCCTAGTTCCTGTATTAATTATCATGACTATATATTTATGTCGCTGCATCCTTTGTATTATTATATACCGATGCTATCAACCATTGAGACAGTTGTGGGTAGGACGTACTTTACAGCTCGTATTAATAATATACGCACACCTACCGAAAGAGCCATCTTCAAGCTAAGATTAACGAGACACTCGGTATTCTTGTTTAAAAAAAAATTATATTATAATATCAGGACCTCTTAATATTGGTGATCTTGATCTAGAATGGAGAAAGGACGAAGAAGATAACATAGAGAAACCCAGCGAAAATGAAAACATTATTGTTAAGTGCAAAAAGAAATCTTGAAATATTTATTTATCAATATTT